AAACGAAGTCATTGTTTGCATTTCCCAGTCCCGGACAACGTCTGCGACGGCATCTTCTTGCAGCACATATCCGAATGTGTTTGAAATTTGGACATGAAGGCCCTTCGCCATTATTAAGTTCGCCATTTTGGCGATGTATATTTTGAAATATGTAAACCAAATATGACAATAAAGCTTGGTTAAAACTTTTTGTAGTTATAGATTTATAAAGCTAAATTATAAGTTTGTATTTATAGCTGTAATTTGTATAAACGCTGTGGAATCAGGCTGGAATATTGTGCGAATAATAAACGCGCCAAACTTGTAAATATATGTTAAATTTTACCGCGAAATTTCACTAACTTCCGTTTAAAATAATCATAACATAAACTCGACCCATGCCACTCTCCAAAAATGTTAGGGCGGTTTGCTGGATGGAAAATAGTGCTAACCAGTATTATGACACATCTGCTAGAATAAAATCTTTGGGCAGTAGAATAGAATAATTTATTTAATGTCGAATGACACAGAGTGTGGTTGCCCAATCACTCGAGCCAGGGGCTCATGATAGAAGTGCTCGACAAAATACTTATTTACCAATGTATAAAATATTTACATGGTATTAATTAATTAATAATCTATACACTAATATACAAACACTACTACTAAATGCATGCATAGCATTGACAGCCAAGTAAATCAGATTGGTGAATCTGGTTTCTAAATTCAGATAATGAGGTAGATGACTTGGCAGAAAGTGGTAACTGATTCCAAATATGGGAAATAATGTACTTATAGGAGTTATGCAAATAACGACTGTTATACACATCCTGTACCACATTATGACCACTACCTCTTAAAGCATATGGAGTATTACGAAGTTTAAAAAAATTAGAAATATAGGTAGGGCCATTTTGCTTGAAACTTTTATAGAATATTAATGACTGCTCAACTCTCCTGTGTTCAAGCGAGCGCATAGTGGCTAAATTCAAAACCGATTCATAACTCACATTTCTTCCTAATTTCATCAATGTACGTAAGCCATAATAATTAGCGTTTTCTAATTTATTTTTAAGTGTTTTACTTATACCTATACGCAATGGGCTACAGTATTCAAGATGCGGTAGAACATAAGCCTTATAAAGCTTAATTAATATTTCTTTTGGCACCATACGTTTCAGTCGTCGTAGGGCAGCAATCTTGGCAAATACTTTCCTAAGAGTATCCTTGATATAAGGTTTAAAATTCAGCTCTTCGTCTAATGTTACTCCCAGAATTTTCAGAGTATCTTCGGTTTTGATAGTTTGATTGTCAACTTTCAAATCATAACTATATTGAGACTTTCCCAGTATCATTGCTTGAGTTTTTTTCCCATTAATGTGGAGATAGTTAGCATTAAACCAAGCGGATAGTGTACAGATATCCTGATTAAGGGTATATTCAAGAATAGCTGGGCTAGTATCATGGGCATATTGGGTGGTATCGTCAGCATACAATCGAAGGGATGAATTTCCAACTGTATAGTTCACATCGTTCACAAAGATGTTAAATAATAAAGGTCCCAGTAGGCTTCCTTGCGGAACACCGCAACAAATAGGTAGGCCAGATAGAGTATACGCCATTACATTTTACTCTTTGTTTACGATCTTGCAAGTATGAACGCATCAATTGCAGGGCCGAGTCTTGAAGGCCGTATGCTTTTAATTTTGCCAGTAATAAATTGTGGCATATAGAATCAAATGCCTTTGATAAGTCGATTGCCACTACACCAACATCATTCTTTTTATCAAGGGCATCACGCCAATCATCTGTCAACTTGACTAGAGCTGTGGCACACGAATGACCGCGGAGAAAACCCGACATGTTTTCCGAGAATGTTGGGGCAAATTTTTCGTATAGCTGGTCAAATTTAACTTTCTCAGACAGTTTTGGTATTGCGGATAAAATAGTAATTGGCCTGTAATTCTTCTTGTTGGTCACCTCTTATGAGCCGCAGTAACATCGCCACACTTCCATTCCCTTGGCCATGCACATTTTGCGATACAATAGTTAAACAAGTTTGCTAACAGTTCGGCGATAACAGAAGCAGATATTCTCAGAAGCTTGGGAGAAATTCCATCAGGACCAGTGGATTTCCTTTCATTCAGATTTGAGAGTAGATCAGTAATATAAACAGTGTTAACTTGTTGGAAAGAGAAGTCAAAGTCATAACAACGATTCGTGATCGACTTTACACTCATATGATTCATGAAATCCTGCTCAGACATATTCAGTATAGTGTCCTCAACAACTGGTTTAGAGAAATAATCATTAAAAACAGCACTAGGCTCAGTTACGACTTTGCCTTCTTCCAATAGATTTATTACTGAAGTGTCAACACTAGATTTGCTGGTCGGTAGCAGAGGTTTCATTTTTTTCCAAAATTGGCCGACAGAACGAGACAATGTGCAAAAAGCCGCATCGGAACAGTAATTTTTAACTGCATCCCTTTTTAACAATGTTACTTTATTACGTTGTACTTTGTAATTTAACCAGTTCGCTTCAGTAGAAAATCGACGAAACTTCTTATACAAACGATTCCTAAGGCGCATTTGTTTCTGAATGTTTGGATTTATCCAAGGTAACTGATTAGTTCTGAAGCGTATTTTCTGCACTGGTGCATGTTTGTCAAGCACAGATGAATATAAGCTTGCCCAATGATGCCAAACGTCATCCACATTCTCAAATATATATGAGCTATCCCAAGGGATTGTCCCAAGATCGGTTTTGAAAGCAGCATGATTTAAATTCTTTATTGAACGGAATTCAATAGATTTGGCCTTTGTTTTCGGAAGTTTTTGTTTTCTAACAACGTATATTAAGTCATGGTCACTGATTCCCAAATGCAAATTACCACTTGTGACAAACCTGTCTGGATGAGACACTAATATGACATCAAGCAGGCTCTTGGTAGATTTTGTCACTCTAGTAGGGTTCGTTATAAGGTTTGTTAGACAAAGCTGCTCTATAAAGTTAGAAAGATCTTGATTGGGACGTTGTGGGTTATTTTGTCCAATTAGCATGTCCATATTAAAATCACCAATGAATATCACCAAATGTAATGGAGGAGGGATTTATAAGTTTAAGAAAAATTAGTAGACACAAAATATTTTCGGGCAATAGACCACAGCTCCTCCAATAGATATGAATCCTGTATGCCTATGGGTGTACTAGTATACACTTAATTGCTCTCATGTGCAAAGAGAGACAAGGTATGTAATTAGAATCTATAAATTAATACATGGTTAGGTATACAAAAGGTTTTGATGTAAAGAATGAATTTCTTTCTTGTTGCTTCGAGCTATTGTATTAAAAGCGACAAGACATATTATACAGGGTGTATCAAAATAAACGCAATTCATCTTTTGTGCTTAATAACTTTCGAAATACTATTTCTAGTTAAACGCTTTTAGGCTTACTTTAAAGCCTGTTCTTTTCTCTTTCAAACAAACTATTATCCTTGTCTCCAATGCTAGTAATAATTGCACAGGAAAAGATTTAGTAAAACCTATCATTTTTTGTTGCTGTTTAATTATGCAAGTTTACTATGTTATTGTTTAGTCGGTTTAAATGTTAGAATTTTCTTCTTTAAACTTTAATGTTGTCGTCACTACATCCGGAAAACCACGTAAGAACAAATTAAAAGTATTTTAAAAGAGACCAGGTTGTTTGAAAATCCTAAACGAATGCTAAAATCGTCAAAACATTCTGGTGTCTGAGCCAGAGTGTCATCGAATTGCGATGTAATGTAAACAGAAATTATAGCAAGTTGATGTCAGTCAGCTTAGATGGTCCAAGCCAAAATTATATCGCATTTGAAGTTTCAAACTGAGTTAAAAATAGTGGAAGAAAAGTCGTAATTATACTTATTGTTACAATCCATTTAATAAAATGCAACATTTTTTTGTTTTAATGAAAAAATCAGTTATTTTCATGAGAACGATTTGTTATTCCATATCTCAATTTTTTTTAATCTCCAATCGCAATAACGTAAAGTATTATTACCCGCGAACCAATGAGTCAAATGTAAGAAACAACCCACTGTTAGAAAGCTGAATGGCTACGCTTTAAAATGAATGTAAACTTTAACGTTTTCGTCTATTATTTGTTTAGCAATTTACATTTCAGTCGAGGATTGCGCTTTTTTTGATACACCCTGTATAGTAAGTGTATGTATTATGTGATGTTACGTGATTTTAGGATGGCAAGGCAACGACAATGGCAGGGCTTAAAAAATAGGCGTACGATTGTACGCCGTAATTACAGAATTTCAAATAACTACGATCGCGTACACGTTCTACAGCAGAGTTGAACCCTTTACTGTAACCCCCTTACTGTTTGCCTTAAATCCTTCTGACAATGAAAAATATCTGCCTCTAATCTAGTGGAATATCCATGTATTTATTAAACAATCATGAAATTTGCAACTTTAACATGAAACACTGATCTAGATTTGTATATATCGAGTAATACTGCTCGAGTCCCTGACTGCCATCTTTGTTTACGTCTTTTAAATCCAGCATTTTTTCAAACATATTTTTATACTGGATTTTTTTTTCGTGCAAGAAATTTCGTTCGCTTTGCCTTTGTTTACATTATGTACTATTTAAAGCACGCGTAGGAGTGTTTTATCACATATAAAACACGACACGTAGCGGAGTGTTTTATGTGTCATAAAACACGACTACAAGTGCTTTAAATGGCTTAAAAAACGACTCATCTTGTACGAGTTCATTGGCGAAGTAAATTTTAAAATAAACTTTGTCTAAACCGAGAAAATCAAAGCTAAAGTTTATGTAAGTTAACATGATTTTTTATCACATATAAAACCACAACACACTTATGATTTTTCTTTGTGTTTTGCTCCTGAATTATTGAGTTTTTTAAGGAGATTTAGAAAGGTCATGAGGTTATCAATGTCAGAATTATGAAGATGCCATGGCTTCTAATTTTCTGGCATACTTTGGGAGCAAACGAAAAGTCACTCATGAGCTAAATTAAAAGAACAATGCATCAGCAAAGATACCCAAACCGTCAGAATATGAGTTCAATCTTGCTAAATATACCATACCATATTATACAAACAAAATTAAACCATGATCACGACCAAATCTGTGCCGCGAAGGGTCCACTTTCTGTGTAAACAAAACCTTGGCTATTTGATTATCTTTTGTTTGTATAGGAGGCTAAATTCTCATGCTTTTAGAAAACGCATGCGAAATGTTCTCTCCTACATGAACATACAGGGCATAAATACAAAAAATAACAAGGTAAAACAAGTATACAAAATCGTACGTCAACATCGATTAAACATACGTCAATTTAGTACAGAGCGTACGACCTCGTACGGCATTTTAAATTTATTTTTTAAGCCCTGAATGGCCAAAACAAACTCCTCAAATAAAGATGGTAAAGATAATTTGTGGTATATTATCAATCGTATGAATTTAATACAGTCTTAGAAGTTGAAGACATAGGTTTTATGTTTGGGAAAGTTCTACTGAACCCAGTTTGAAGTTGCAGTTGACATGAAAATCTATGATTTGGCATTGTAAACAAAGGGAGGACAATGTCTAAATTATTCATATATTGTAATTATTCAATTCTTCTCAATGATTTATTGTGTTTCTATTTAAAAATCGGAGAACCATCCAGCTGTTTATTGGTGCAAAATTTTCTGTAATGGCCCTGTCACACTATTGCGTATCATACTAGCATATATGGAAAATTTCAATCATACGCCTGTAGTGATATATTGTTACGTCATGTAACATAAATATAAGGACACAAGAACACGTGATAACATTATGCAGGCTTATATAAAAACATGGCGAAAGGCCCAATATAGTTTGTAAACTTATTCTTTGTAATCATTGATATTATATGGCAATCCTAATAAACTAAATACGAAACACAACATGGTGTCAAAGAGTGGGATCTGATCAACAGTCCACAAGGAAAAGAAACGTAAATCAGGGTTGGTAAGTCAAAATATTTCGTACAATACGAACAGACATTTACTTGCAAGTATTCGAACGATATTAAATAAACGTAAAGAGACATGGCCACTGGGTTTACCCCACCAACAATGAACTGGAATGCTTCAGACATTCCAGACAAGTTTAATTCCTTTAAGCAATATTGCAACCTTGTATTTGATGGGCCATTTCTAAAGAAAACAGAAAAGGAAAAAGCATCTTATATTTTACTATGGATTGGGCGACAGGGAGTCGATATTTACAATAGCTTTGTATGGGAGAACGAACAGGACAAAGTGAAGCCCAAAGCCATATGGGAGAAATATGGGAAACACCTTGCGCCAAGAAGTAACTATAGGCTAGCACGATTTCAATTACAACAATTGAGACAAGAACCAAACGAAAACATTGACGACTTTATGACCAGATGCAGAAACCAGGCAGCAAAATGTAAATTTCGAGATCAACAAGAAACGAATGAAAGATTAATTGAACAATTAGTAATTGGAACAAGACATAAGAAAGCACAAGAAAAAATACTCGAAAAAGATGAAAATCTGAGCTTAGACGAAGCAATAGATTATGCCAGAACATATGAAGCTACCATAGCTCATGTTGCTCAATTAAATAAAACAAGTGAAATTCAGAAATCCGTACATGCACTATCAAAATTCGCAAAGCCTAAACAAAAATGCCAGAACTGCGGAACTGAGCATGAAGCTAGAAAATGCCCAGCCTACGGGACAAGCTGTAACTTTTGCTCAAAGCCAAACCATTGGGCAAAAATGTGTCGCAAGAAAATAAACAAAACAGCCCACTACCAAGCTAGACCAGGAAGCCAAAATCCCAATGAGGGCAAACAAACTAGATACAGCCAAGGTCAAAGTCGAAACAGTAATAGGCGGATCCATGATTTGAATGTAAACAACGAGTCAAGTGATGAATTCGATACACTAGTTTTTGACACGATCACAGTTGACAGTATTACACCTGACTCAAACAGCCAAACCAAAGATGAAGCACTAGTCATGATCAACATCGAACTGCCAAATAACACACAATTGAGAGCTAAAGTTGACACAGGTGCTCAAGCAAACATCCTACCACTAAGATTATACCGTAGCATGTTCCCAGCGAATATCAGCTATGATGGTAAACCCAAGATAAGTGCAGTTAAAAAGTCCACGACCACCCTTACAGCATACGGGGGTACTCCAATTCCACAATTTGGTACATGCGAAATAAAGTGCTCATACAAGAACAACAGCACAAGCGCTACATTCTATGTGACTGATCTACACAGTAGAGCAATTATTGGATTACCAACTGCACTAGATCTTCACTTGATTACGTTGAACTGTTCAGTAGAGAAATTGCAAGTACAAGAGACCTCGCCTACTAAGGACACGGCAAAGCTTAAACCAAGCACTTGCATAGATAATAAATCTCACCTGATTGCACAATACCCAAATTGTTTCAATGGGATTGGCAAATTCCAAGGGGAATATCACATCACCTTAGACCCTTCAGTTCCACCTGTCATTCACCCACCCCGACGCGTACCCATTAGCCTTAAAGATGATATCAAACACGAGTTAGAAGAGATGGAACAGCTAGACATTATAACCAAAGTTCGAGAAGGTGAACCCACAGCATGGGTCAACAGTCTAGTTTACCGAAGGAAACCCAATGGGAGGCTAAGAATATGCCTGGATCCGAAAGACTTGAATGCTGCTATCCAACGTGACCACCATGTTACACCAACCCTAGAAGAAATCCTACCAAAGTTGAATGGTGCCATTTCTCTATCCTCGACGCAAGAAGCGGCTACTGGAACGTGACACTAGATGAAGAATCCAGTTATTTAACAACATTTAACTCGCCCTTCGGGCGATATCGATTTAAACGAATGCCATTCGGTTTAAAGATGTCACAAGATGTCTTTCAATCAAAAATAGATCAAACCTTTGAGGGCTGCAATGGTGTTGTGGGAATCGCTGACGACATAGTGGTCTTTGGCAAGACAGCGGAAGAGCATGATGAAAACCTGATGGAGAGATGCCAAAACACCGGTCTAAAGCTCAACCCTGAGAAATGTTTCATAAAGCAGAAACAAATCAAATTCTATGGAGTTATATGCAATGAAGAGGGTATTAAGCCAGATCCATCCAAAGTTTCCGCCTTGAAACAGATGACAAAGCCCAGAGATCGTCGTGAGCTCTAGACATTCCTTGGGCTAGCCACATACATGGGTCCTTTTATCCCAAACCTTAGCTCCATTACAGCACCATTACGAGAAATCCTAAAGAAGAAGAATACCTTCGAATGGAATGAAAACTACCAACGAGCATTTGACGAAGTTAAACAAGCCATCAGTGAAGAGATCACCTTAAACTATTTCGACAGCACCAAAGAAGTTGTTGTGAAACACCTCACGTCTGCACCACCCCGACTGCAGCGTATGCTACTCCGGTTACAACCCTACGACCTAACTATCAAATATATTCCAGGAAAAGACATGCTACTAGCAGATGCTCTGTCACGATTATCCCCCGAAGAAAAGAACCCAGTGAAAGATATGAACGTGGAAATTCACGAAGTTTGCCCACATTTTAGCAGCGAAATGATCGAGAAGGTCAAACTAGAAACAACTTCTGATCAGGAGCTGATGATGCTCAAAACGACTGCACGAAGGCTGGCCAACATCAATTAAAGAAGTTCCACAAGTTCTCAAACCGTATTGGTGCTACAGAGACAAAATTAGTATTGAAAATGGAATACTCATGAAAGGGCAAAGAATCATTATACCATCAACCCTTCAAGTCGAAATTCTTGGAAAACTTCATGCAGCACATCAAGGTGCAGAGAAAACAAAACTTCGTGCCAGAACATCCGTCTTTTGGTGAAAGATGAACGAAGATATCGACAAAATAACCAAATCTTGTCGTACCTGCCAAGAATTCCAACCAACGCAAACCCGACAACCACTCATCCCAACAGAGATACCACCTCGCCCTTGGCATACAATTGCCACTGATCTGTTCTATCTTGATAACACAGAATATTTGCTTGTTTCCGACTATTACTCCAAGTACCCATTTGTGAGGAAAATCCCAAAAGGGCAGAGCAACAGCAAGACCATTATAGCGATCCTAAAGCAGATATTCAGCGAACAAGGAATCCCAGAAGTCGTTCGTTCTGATAACGGTCCACATTATTCCAGCAAGGACTATCGCGAATTTGGTAATGAATACGGGTTCCAGATAGTAACAAGTTCACCCCATTATCCCCGAAGTAACGGGTACATTGAAAGTCAAGTGAAGACAGTGAAAGCAATATTAGCTAAAGCTAAGAAGACCGAAACTGACCCGAACATTGCTCTCCTTTGCTTGCGCTTCCACACCGATAGACAATACGTTACCATCACCAGCAGAACTACTCATGAAAAGGAAACTTAAAGACAATTTACCGCGGAAAATTACCAGGGATCACAATAGTGATGACATTATAACCAGATTAGAGCAAAGGCAGGAAAAGCAAAAACAATATCATGATCAACACGTGAAACCTCTTCCTGCTCTACAGTCAGGACAATCTGTCAGTGTCCAAAATCCGTCGACTGGCAAATGGAGTCCAGCAACCATAAAGGAAAAGATTTTCAATACCCCAAGATCTTATCAAGTCGACACACCAACAGGGGAATTGAGGCGCAACCGAATCCACCTGAGAGAATTACCATCTACGCCACAATCAAGCACAACCACCAACAATCCTGACAACAGCAACAATC